TACTCCTTTCTGGTTTAACCCCACCTTGCAGCTAGCTGAAGTGTCAAATGGAACTAATTTTGTTCCAAAGCCACCTGCATGCAGAGACCTTGCCATTCTTAGCAAAAGATTTTTGATTTGGCTACTCGGGAACTGTGACCTACTTTTGGAGAACTCTGCTCCAGTGCCAGAGATTTGCAGAGGCATACACTTTTACCCACCTTCAACTAGGTCTGGTTTCCACAGCATTCCACGATCTTTCTTCAGAGAGTGTGCTTCAGAGTTGTCACTAGTTTTTTGTTTCATAGTAGGTGATTTTTTTTTCCTGTTTTTGTTTTGTTGTTCTCCCCGTTGATTTTCAGGGAGTAGAATAGAGCCAAGGAATCATTATTCTCCTTAAATGGGAGTCCCTTGGGTGGTATTTGAAGTTGATAATGGAATCAGCCCTAAAGAACTTGAAAACTTAGAGATCAGGAGAAAATGAGACTGAGAAGGGAAAACCAGAGAAGTAGGAGGAAAACCAGAGAATGTGGCCGCACAGAAGCCAAGAAAAGAATGTGTTGAGGGATTGGGAGTCAGTGTCAGATGCTGCTGAGAAACCAGGTAAGATGAGGACAGAAAATCAACTGATGAATTTAGCAGTTTCAATGGGAACTTACTTTGGGAAGTTTGATCAAGATTTATGGAAGTGCAGAAGTGGAAACCGACAGGAGTTGGTTGAGGAGATAATAAAAGGGGGGAAAATGGCATGTGTAGAGGGACATTTCTCCTGAGAAATATGAATGTTCATAGCAAATTAAAATTTCATTTGCATTGAAAAGGGAAAGAAGACAGGCTCAGTGTGATTAAGCAAGACCTATTCAGAAAGTATACATTCCTCATGAAATAAATGAGTAATACTTACATATGAATAAAGATTTTATTAAATACAATACCCAGTAGACCATTCACAGGGAACTTCCTCCTGACTATAATTGACTCCATGTATTTCCCAAAGCCAACCAAGGGTAACACTGAACTCTGTTACTGGGTGAATCTAACTTAGGAGCGTCAAGAGTACGTTTGAAATACAGTCATCTGAAATAAATTCCTTTTTCTCTTCTGCCTAGCTCAAAGTTAAATATCTTTTTGTCCTTTCTGTTCAGTAAGTTTCAAATTGAAATAACTCGAGTTTCTCTTTCCTCATTTCTACTATCACTCCCTCATTGAGCACCTTATTGACCTCTTTATCTTGTTTCCAGACACATCCAATTTAAATTTCCTCAGCCTGGTTTTCAAAACCCACCGTATCATATGAAATCTGAGTCCATGGTACTTTCCCAACTGCTCCCCACATCCCCTAACACGAGCTCTCTGCTCTGGCTGGGCCAGCCACCTTGCAGTTCTGCACACCCCACCCCTCCCTGCGGTGTCTCATGCTTCTCTGGAGGGCTATGCACGTTGTCTGCCCCATGACTGATCTGAAGGAGCTGCTTACTTCTTGACTTCCCATTGTAGATGGTCTTATATATAAGTGACATGTGCAAATTTACAAAATTACATTTTTTTAACAAAATAATGTTTCAGAATTCATGTACAATGAACTGTTGTTCTCCAAAGGCATTGCCTTTATATATTCTTCATTGCTACTCATTAATTGAAAACTTTTTAAAACCCATTTGTTTCATTTAGAAGCCAATGGAAATATCTGGCCCTTTCAATAAATATTTTTAAGCTCCTTAAGAAAATTAAGTTTTAAAAAATCAGCTGCTATTAAGCTATTTTAACCATTTGGGAAGTTCTAAAGAGGAAAAAAGTAAACAGAACAAAGACTATAAAACTGGTGTTGGAGATAGGGTATCAAGAATGACTTCATAGAGGAGCTGGTGCTTAGGCTTTTGGAGAATGAGTGGCAATCTGGCTATCACATGGGGGAAGAATGGATGAGGAAAAGGTATTCCAGGCAGAATGAATCTCATGGGCACAACCATGAAGGCATGGAGCCCTTGGGAACCGTCAATAGCTCATTAATGTGAGAGCAAGAGTCACAGAGACAGAGATGCGGGAAGGTTTCGGTGGGTGGCAGTGGTGTTGGTAGATAGGAGTCAAGCGAAGAGAAGCCTGGAGGCCAGACCCTATATGCCTTGTTTGTACGTTACTCTTAGGGTTCCTCATTCAAAGGGGTTTGTTGTGATAATCCTTGCCACTATAGTACATACTTTTATTATCTTCACTATCATACTGTGTTGTTATTATTTCTTTACAATACATATTTATTTACAATACTTCCCTGTTCTTTTCTCCCTTTAAAAAAATGTCGGGGTTAGGCCCAGGGTCTGACACAAAATGGATGTTGAATAAATATTTGAAAATGAATTATGAAAGTTTGTCGTAAAAGGTCTGCACACAGAGGTCATAGAAACACCTTCCTTTGTCTGATGTAAGAGGAGGTGTCATCCCATTTGTCATCAAGGATAATCACTGCAGTTCCTTCGGGAGGCAAACGGCGCAGGTGCCTACATTACCTTCGTGCTTAATTTACAAAGCAAATGGAAATCTTGAGTTGATGTTAAAGTGTATACTGGCACCATCTAGTGGTAATTTTAAGACCTAACCAAATCGAAAGTTTCACATTTGATAACCAAACTTAGAATTTCAAATAAAGTAAGCTTCTAATGTTTTGTAACTTGCTGGAGCATTGTATTTGTTATCATATTGCATTGAACCTTTGCCACTATCTTCAAGTTAATAGTTATGCATTCAATTATTTTATAAATACATGTATTTTAGTTGTATTTTACAAACATGGTGCCTAGAGGTTTTGATAAACAAAATATTTAATACTTGAAGTAAAATGGAATTTTGTTTAAAAATGATCTATTAGTAGTTCTAAAAATTACCCATTGAGAAAGAAAATACATTATTGAAGAAACCTGGAAACAGAACAATATTTTCATCTCATACATTATTTGCTGTGTCTCTTAGTCACAGAGTTCCAGGCTCATGAAGTCATTTTTTTCTAATGTCCTTCTGTGCCTTTTCTTATGTCTTCCTATTTGGACAGCATTTTTTAAAACTAAAGAATCTTATTCTTTTAATTTTTTTCCTTGGAGGTACCTATTGAGCATGTACTGCAAATTTTCAGGTTAAGCCAGAAAGACTTGGGTGGTGAATCTTAGCTTTTTATCATTTTTGTGGGTCTTTGAACATGTGTTATGTAGACATTTTGCTTGTGACTTGTAGTTGACTGACAGCTGAGGCAGGGATCAGATTATGATCACTGAATCCATTCCTCACGTGTAGGGGTTGTTGTGATCTCAGTAGCAATTATTAATAACAAAAACATTTATTAAGAATCTCCTTCATGTATAACATAATCGGAAGCATAAGATTAAATGCCTTTTTTTTTAAAAGGTACTTACCCAATGCTAGAGGGATAGAGGGGTACAGTTATCACCATTTTACAGGTGAAAAAGCTGACACGTGTGGACAGTAAGTAGCTTTCACAGATCTCACTGCTATTAAATTTGCGGTGTGAGCATTGAGATCCAGATGTGAAGGACTCCAAATCAGTGCTCTTAGCTACCATATAAACTTTCTAACAATTGAGAGAGGATGCATTGAAAGCTACGATAGAAAAGTACACAGAAAACCTTAAAGGGGTTAATAACTCTTATTTAAATACATACTAACTACTTGATAAAAATCTTGGTTTTAATTTATTATTGACATTATCAGCTTCTGTTTGTTTCCATTCCTAATTATAGCTGACAGCCTTCATTCCAGCCTTAAATTCCCAGGAAGTTTAAAATTCTTGCCTGCTGGTCCCAAATGCTTAGTTCTTCTGCTGCCCCACTGGCCATGCAGCAAGTGTGCTTGGAAATATGCTGTCTTTGGACCAGCATTTTGCCAGTCTGGGTACTTCCTTTGTTCAGCTTTTGGAAATGAGATATCCCTTGTGCTTCTTGGCAGGTGCAACATATTGGTGGCAACTGTTTGTTGTGTAGAAGCATCCAAGCTCTGGGACACATATGTTTATATGTGTGGATTACTGTGTAAAATAGTGGATATATGTGGGTTTTCTAAATTTTATGTTTAATTTTTTCTTTCAAAACGTAAGTACATAAATGTGCATGATTACAGTCATATCATATATATTGGGGCTTTTTACTCTCTTTTCTGTGTCCTGTGGCCTCCTCTCACCTGCCTCATTTCCCTCCATCCACGTCACCCTACTATGTGTATAAAAAGATGCATAAAACATAACATGTATTCTTACATGTTTTCCATGTGTACATATTCATTTATAAAATGTGTCCATTTGCAGATATACATACAAATACATATATGGGGTAGATTTTTTAACCTTTGTTTTATGGGGGAAAGGTGGTATTGTATTGTATATACTTAAAAAAATGCACATACCTTTCAACCAGTTATCTCATTCCTAAGAATCCATACCACAGAAATAAAAGTATCAATCTATAATATTGTATATCAAGAGTGTTTCTTGCAGTATTATGGAATCATTGAATAAATAGTGATGTAGCTACATGATGGGATTTTAGGTAGTCATTAAAAAAATAAATTTGATTTATGTCAGAAGTGTCTCCTCTCCCCTTCTCTCTGTTACGAGTTCAATTGTTTTTATTCATTGACTGACATTTTAGTGAGATTTCAAGAGGAAGAAGATTCTGTTTCTTTTCCTCCTTACAGCTGTGATGTTGTCTTCAACTATTCTTAGTTTTTCGCTCTTCTTACCTTTCTGTATGTTGGAAACAGGAAACCCCCAGCCTCCAACAAGTTGCATTCTTCCTTCTTTTCCCGGCTTTGAACCCCTATTGATCTTTTCTACCATCTGCATCTGAAGGGGCACAGCCTCAAACATCATCTCTAAAAGTTGACTCAGAACCGGTGAAATGTCAATTCAGAAATTGTCCCTGGGGTAGTTGGACTTGCTTGGAAATAAGAGACTCATAGGAAAGAAATAGCATTTCTCTATAACCGCAGCTACTTCCTCCTTTTCTTTTGCTCCTGTACAGATTTGAAAAGGGACGCATCTACACGTTCATTGGAGAAGTCGTTGTTTCTGTGAATCCTTACAAGTTGTTGAACATCTATGGAAGAGACACAATCGAGCAGTATAAAGGACGTGAGCTGTACGAGAGACCCCCCCATCTCTTTGCTATCGCTGATGCTGCTTACAAGGCTATGAAGAGGCGATCAAAAGACACTTGTATTGTGATATCAGGTATTTGGAGGGGGTCCCCTGTATTTCCAAGGTCAGTGTGTTTAACTTATTTGGTACTCAAGGATCCAAACAATTGATTACGCCTTTTTTTAAGGTTGGAAACCTGAGGAGTTTTATAGGAGAGAAAAAAGTGATGACCATTAAATGCCAAATTATTAAAATAATTTCTGATTACCGTCTAGTCTTGGTTCATTTACAAGTACGTCTTACACTTGGCTGACTCCTGGCCAGTTTGTAGACTAAGCAGACATAGAAAATGTTTTCTCCGGCCGGGCGCGCTGGCTCACGCCTGTAATCCTAGCACTCTGGGAGGCCGAGGCGGGCGGATTGTTTGAGCTCAGGAGTTCGAAACCAGCCTGAGCAAGAGCGAGACCCCGTCTCTACTAAAAATAGAAAGAAATTAATTGGACAACTAAAAATATGTAGAAAAAATTAGCCGGGCATGGTGGCGCATGCCTGTAGTCCCAGCTACTTGGGAGGCTGAGGCAGGAGGATCGCTTGAGCCCAGGAGTTTGAGGTTGCTGTGAGCTAGGATGATGCCACGGCACTCTAGCCCGGGCAACACAGTGAGACTCTGTCTCAAAAAAAAAAGAAAATGTTTTCTCCTATCTCAAACACATAAAAGTATTAGATGAATCATAACAAAAATTATTTTAAAAAATAGCAGACTGAAAGTAAGAAAATTAAATACTGAGGTGCTAAAAATGAAGGAAGAACACAAAATCAGACTGGTGCATGGGAGCTAGTGTTGCAGGGCCTGCAGATGCATGGGGGCCAGAGATAGGCGTTCAGAGCTGAGGGCTCAAGCTTTAAAGCCCAGAGTAGGGGAATAGGCTACAGACCCTGTGCATCTGAGAACTGGAGCTGAACTGTCTACATAAAGTTGAGACCTTCAGGGAGTCTCATGTGGTGAAATGGGACAAGAAGAATATCTGCCCACTGACCCAGGATGGCTGTTCCCAAACTGTGGAAATTTCTTTTGGTGCTAATGATACCTCACATTTGCATTAGTGGTTTTATGCTTTTAAAAACGCTTTTATGATCGTTATTCCATTTGGGTTATCAAAATACTGAGTGGTATGTAGACCACTTGTTTTTCTGTTTTATAGATAAGAATATTAAAGGTCAGAGGAATTAAGTAACTTTACTTAGTGTTGGAGTTAGAGAAGTATATCCTAGGGCTACATTTTATTGAGACAAATTACAAGAACAATATTTCCAGGTTTTAAAAGGGGAGAAAGAAAGCAATTATATGCATGTGTGAAGTAAAAGGAAAAGTCTCATCCCTTCGAATACCTCATTCCACCCAAATTCCAGCAGTAACAGCTCTTAACAGTTTAGTGTTTATCCTTTTATGCATTTTCTCTGCAAGTGTAAATGCATATAGTCACAAATGCATGTGTAATTACATTATAAATGTTTAATTATATTATAGAATATATTATGCTTGCTATTATATAGCTTGTTTTTCTATTTAACAATATATAGTGGACATCTTTTCATTAGGATACTTAGAGAGCTAGTGCATTCTCTTTAACAATTATGTATGTTCCATTAAGTAATGAAATCATGATTTATTTACACAATTCTCTACTGATGGGTATATTATTTCCAGCTATGACATACAGTGTAATCTATAGAAATATTTTTAAAACCTTTGAAGGTTATTATTATTATTATTATTATTCACATTAGTATTTTTTAGTATTTCCTTAGAAGCAATTTCTATGTGTGGAATTTTGGGGTCAGAAAGAATAAACATGTAAAAATTTTGATAGATACTTCTAAATTGCTCCCTTCCTCCCACCAATTATACCAATTGTCAATCTTTTTCTATGATATCTTGTGGCTGGAGTTTGCTGTTTTTTTCACTGAAGTTTCTCCAAAATTTTGAAAGAATTATTTTATCCCCTTTAAGATTAAAAGAAATTCTGCTATAGAAAATAAGGTTATATGACCTTAGCTGTATCCACTGTTTGAATCACTACCTTATTTCTTTTCTGCTAGACTTATGAGTCACTGCCAAGTATTAAAACTTCAGCCTTAGTTTATCATATTTTATCTCCTGATACTTTTTTCCTGAGTAAATCTTGATTTGTAGCCTACTCATTATTTTACTTCTATAATAGTTTTTATGTTTTTCAACATATTCAGATCTGCTAGAACCAATACTATATCAAAGCAGGATGAAATAACTCAAGAAAGTATAATATCTTAATGTAACACAAGGAATTTTAAAGGAATAAGCAACATCAAAATTCTAAATTATTCTGTTAAAAATTAGTTTCCTCTCGATTTAAATTATAACATTAATCCCTGCATAATTTTTATCCCCAGGGGAAAGTGGAGCTGGTAAAACGGAAGCCAGTAAGTACATTATGCAGTATATTGCAGCCATCACTAACCCTGGTCAGAGAGCAGAGGTTGAAAGGTAAGGGCAATCTAATAATGGGGAGAAATTCTGACTGGAGCTTCATTCTCTCTTTTTTTTTTAAGAGACAGTTTCTCCACTCTGTCACCCAGCCTGGAGTGCAGTGATATGATCATAGCTCACTGTAACCTCTAACTCCTGGGCTCAAGTGATCCTCTGACTTCAGCCTCCCGAGTAGCTGGGACTACAGGCACACGCCTCCATGCCTAGCTAATATTTTTTTATTTTTTCTAGAGATGGGGTCTTGCTATGTTGCCCAGGCTAGTCTCGAACTCCTGGCCTCAAATGATACACCCACCTCAGCCTCCCAAAGTGCTGGGATTACAAATGTGAGCCACCATCGTAGCCATCTTCTGTATAGACATGGCTAGGCCTAAACTCTGATATGTGTCGAGCATTTTGATGATTAAACTACTCTGATTATCTTATTGTATATTGTCTCTGTACTTTATGTCACTATATCTTTTTCTATATTTGTTTTTAATAGAAAAATACTACTATGGGAATCTTTGCCTAATTATAAGACAAAAAAATTACTCTGAAACGGGTGAAAGTGTCCCCATTCTGGTTTATAACTGCTGCCTTAGATGTGGCCAGCAGAACCATTATAATTTACACCGGTGGGTTTTATTGTTCAAGCTCTCACATGTTCCTCGCTCTTTCTAACACACCGAGTGAAGCGGGGCTCTGGAAAGCAGACCCATATCTTCCTTCCCATCATCATTACAACCAGAACCTACTGATACTGGAAGTTCTAAAAAGATTCATTTTCTAAAAGGGTTTCATGCCGTACCATGCTGCTGCTCACAATACGATGTGCAAGGGAGCTGGTCTGTCCTGTCCAGGGCCCAGCATTTAGGACAGTGCTGGCACATGGTATTTGCTTAATAAATATGTAAGGCATGAATGGATGGGTTTAAAAAACATGTGGCTGTAAAGCAGTATGGCTTGACTTTCTTATGCAGTGTGGCTTTTCTGAAGAGAAAAAAAGTATTTTCCTAATTGGCTACTTTGAAGCTTGGCATCGATTACTGAAGAGTCATACCTCATCTACACATGACAACCTTCAGTTTTATAAATAGACAGAAAGGATGCTGGGTTGATGTGAATGAAGAGAATTTAGACTCTACTACCCTACATGGGGTTTCTAATTTTCATCATAATTGGACTGGATTATGAGGCAAAGAGGCATTTTTCTTGATTGTAACATATCCCTGCTTCTGACTATGACTTTGCCATCTAACTTGATAAGGACAAGGATATGAGTAAGTTTTCTTAATTTCCTTAGAAGCTCAGGAGAGTAACTAGCTGAGAAGTAAATTAATTTTATTTCTGGTAGAGTAAGGTATGTGTAAATTTGCTCATCTTTCTCAAGCATATCTTACCATAAGCAGTTCTCTTCCCCACCCCATACACAATTTTGTTTTAAGAGACAGGGGTCTCACTCTGTCACCCAGGCTGGAGTGCAGTGGCATGATCATATATAGCTCACTGTAACCTCCAACTCCTGGGCTCAAGCAATCCTCCAGCTTCAGTGCCACCCCTCACCCTGCCACCCCTGAGTAGCTGGAATTACAGGCATGTGCCACCGCACGCTCCCTACTTTCTCTCCAGATATTTAAGCATTTACACGAACACACGTATGTGTACACTCACATGTACACACACATACACAAACACACCCAAGGATCCTGCAATGCTTATTATTTTGGAACTTGATTAACTTCATTAATATAGTCTAGACATCTTTCCATGTCAGTACATGTTGATGTACCTCATTCTTTTTAGCACCTGTATAGTGTTTCATTATATTGGGAAACAAAAATTTATTTTTATCTATCCACATTGGTGGACATTTGTTTGTATTTTGTTGATATTGCAAACAATGCTGCAGTCAGCATTTTTGTATAAATGTTTGCATGTGTTGTAGCAAACTCCAGTTTTTTAAAAGTCCTAGTCTCTAAAACTTTTACTAATGACTTTCATGTATCTGTGTTAAAAGAGTGAAGAATATGTTGCTGAAGTCCAACTGTGTTTTGGAAGCTTTTGGAAATGCCAAAACCAACCGTAATGATAACTCAAGCAGATTTGGAAAATACATGGATATCAACTTTGATTTCAAGGGGGACCCTATTGGTGGACATATCAATAACTACTTATTGGAGAAGGTAAAATGTGCTTTATTTTTGAGGGTAATGTTTATAAGTACTGACTGTTTTAAAAAATTATATTTATAGAATTTTTTTATTGCTTCAAAGTGGCTTTTAATCCTATTCTGCCTCCTTGATTCGCTTTCTATGATAAGATATTCTCCTCTTGTGTTCTTGTATTAGCACTTATAATATCAAGTTGGAAAAACTTGTAGATACAGATTTAAGTATATGTGTGTGTGCAGGGGGCGCTGGCATGAGTGTGTGCCAACTTCTGGGTAAGGTTTAACCAAAAACTAATCTCGGACTAATCAGTTCCCATCTTTTTATACATCACCATCTTTAATACATTTTAATTTTAATTTGATATCTCATTTTCCTCTAGTTTCTATTTGTTCACTGCTCCATAGTAACATATATGTATTTTATAATCTGACATCCTAATCATAAAGCATACTGTGTTTGGTCAGTGAAAATTTAGAATGTGTTTTTGTCTGCCTATATGAATGTTAAGCCCAATTTATAGAAGGTTCCAATTGAAACTTTCCTCTTGGGCCTGCCAGAGAGGTTGTGTCCTAACTCATCTTGATTATCACGGGGCGTGACTGGAAGAGAGCACATAGAGTTCATCCACCTCATTATTGCAGTTAAGCTTGTACTTTGCAGAGTTAAGTCTTCACCTTGAATCATACTCACGTCTAAGCTGACATACGTTCTGGGTTAAGGGTTTCCCACCCCAATTATGCTGTAGCATCCTTTATGGCAGTATAATGCAGCATAATCGTTATTTTTGTTTGTTATATTGAAGTGAGACTGTTAAGAAAATAAGTGTGTTATCAGAGTCAGTTGAAAAATGGCAGGAAATGCCAGGTATTATTAGTTTTTATTTCAAAATGTTTCATGGATTCACTTTTATGTACATATTCAATCAAAAGGATCCTTTTGAATAAACACACATTTCGAGTCCTCTCCTCATGGCAGTCTTTTTGGAGCCATCTAAGGCCAAGGTCCCTATGGATAATCTTGCTCAGCTGATTTTATTATAGGATATGAAGCATTGCTCTTTGAAATGCCAGCAGATGCTGGACAAGGGAATGTTGAGAATACTCTTCCCTAAGCATTCCTTCCTATTCTCCCCACTTCTTTTTTTTTTTTTTTTTTTTTGAGACACAGTCTCACTCTGTTGCCCGGGCTAGAGTGAGTGCCGTGGCATCAGCCTAGCTCACAGCAACCTCAAACTCCTGGGCTCAAGCGATCCTTCTGCCTCAGCCTCCCGAGTAGCTGGGACTATAGGCATGCGCCACCATGCCTGGCTAATTTTTTTTATATATTTTTAGTTGTCCAATTATTTCTTTCTATTTTTTAGTAGAGACGGGGTCTCGCTCTTGCTCAGGCTGGTCTCGAACTCCTGACCTTGAGTGATCCGCCCATCTTGGCCTCCCAGAGTGCTAGGATTACAGGCGTGAGCCACTGTGCCCGGCCCCCACTTCTAATCTTTACTCCCCACCAAATTCCATCTTTAAGCTCCAGGTTAAAAAAAATTCAGAATTGTTTCATTCTTTAGAAAGTTTAGGGATCTCTGTTTTAAGCAGTAAAAAGACTTATCAAAAAGTTGCACGGGAAACTCCATGGAGAAGACGTAGTCTTAGATGAGTACTATCCATGGAGTCTTTAGGATATTTAAATGCACTGTAGATACAGAATTCCCTGAGAAAGTGACTTCCGTTTTATTTTAGGGGAACATTTTCAGGTTAACCATTTAAATGTGTTTTTTTCTTAGTCTCGAGTGATTGTGCAACAGCCAGGAGAAAGAAGCTTTCATTCTTTCTATCAGGTTAGTAACCTCCTGTTATGCAGTCAATTGATCATTGCCTCAGTTGTGCAAGAAATGAATGTTTGTATCTTGGGCTTTCCCCTGTTCTATGCCTCCCTTGGCTCCATCGGCACCATGACACGCCACACATGCTTCTTAAGAGATTGGACAAGCATGACCGTTGTAAAGAGCTGGCAGGTGGTTAGCCAGGCAGGTGACTGCCTTGGTTGAGCATCACCCATGTTTCCCTGCAACGTGGATAAGTTTAATGACGGTGAAAGCTTTTGAAATTGTACAGCTTATAAATATGTTAAATTAATTTTGTTTTATTTTTAATTGAAATTGTTGTTCCCCTGTTTAGGAGTTCCAGAGATGGGAATACAAATTCAGTTTATTTTGCTCGTAGAGATTATAAAGCAATATGGTTACTTTTTAAAAATAACCAGGATTTATAAATTCAGGGGAGAATTGTCTTCTTTATCCCATCAAAGTTTAGAAAACAATTTGAATATCTCTTTTGGGAGTGCTTTTTTAAGGCAAAATCTTTTAAATAGCCCTCCTGTTGACAAGTCCTTACACTCGAGCAAGTTTGATACATTATTGTAATTTTTAAAGTTCAGAGTAATATAAACCAAGGCTAACAAATAAGGTAGGTGATCAAATTAAGCAATATTGTTTTGGATTTTTAAGAAGTAAAACTATAAATTAGTGAAATTGATTTCCTTGTGTAAACTGTGAAGGTGATAGAACAGTGACAGTACAATTAAATACAAATCAGTCGAGTTCGGTTTCTTCTAGGTAACTGCTTTAATAGGTATCATTCATTTGCATATACAAGTTCTGGTATATTTAGTTTAAAAATCAATTTTAAAAATCTGATAATTATACCTCTTAACTAAATAGAAACATACAGTTTAATATAGGGAATTTAAACAAAATGCCTTCCAAAGGTATGCCCTATCTGTCAATATTGTATTTGTGTTTTGTTAACAATTTGCCATGTTTTAAATAAACTGTTTTTCTGCCAAATATAAAAGAGTTCTGTTTGTTCCAAGAACCCCCAACTTTTTCCTAGTGCTTTTCTCACTTGGATGAAAGTATTAAAATTTGTCTTTATTCAGCACTACAGCCATAATTATCCCACTGTCCTTCTTTCCTGAGGTGTGCAGATTGATGAGGAAAAGCCGTTTGTTTCCAGTGTGAGTCAGCATTTGACCGTGTGCTGATGCCTCTTACTTGCGCGGCAATATTGACTTTTCCTAAATTCTGAAACACAGCTATATCCTGCCTATAATGAGGCTGCTAAGCAAGCGACCAACACAGAATGGAGGATCCTGTTTTACAAATGACCATACTCAAAACTGAAACTTTTTATCCCAGTTATCTTGTGAATGAGATGAGACTTTTTAAGTACTTTTCTTCATAACTACATAGCATTCTCCATAACTGATGAAATTGAGCCATTTACCTTCAATGTTAACAGAAAACCTTCTTCAAAGCTAGAAACAGGAAGGCCTAAATGAATGAAGCCCAGAGAATGAATAAAGGTTAGATTACCACTAAGTTAGAATATTTGGTTCCATGTATATTTTGCCAATTTATTTCTAATTAAATATTTTTCAGCTACTCCAGGGAGGTTCAGAGCAGATACTGCGTTCTCTGCATCTCCGGAAATCCCTTTCATCCTACAACTATATCCATGTGGGAGCTCAATTAAAGGTGAGAATTGCTCTTTGAGATTGCTCAGATATAGAATCAGACAATCAGAGAATCAGAAGGGACATTAAATAATTATCTGGTCAAGCCTGATGCCTTCAAGCAGATACATGTTTCTTCTGTTCTATTTTTAAAATTCTCAGGGACAGAGAGATTCAATACATTATTGAGTCAACAACCTTGCTTAATAACCCATCACTATATTTTATCACCATCTGACAGAAAAGAAAATTTTTTTCCCATGTTCAAGATTTTCTTTAATTTTTAATCCTATTCCTATTCCTTTTATTTTGACACTATAAAAAGATTGATAGGACTAGAATGTCTGCCTCCTAAGAAGATGTCTATGATTTGGCCAAAGGCAAGTTATTGAAAAGTGCTTTGATTCTCCATTCCCTGTTTGTTTTTTTTTTTTCCAAATGTTAATTTTGATGTATCCTAGAAATAGTTCTGTGACCCTTGAGGCATTTCTATTCAGCTTTCAAAATTTTCCATTTTTTCCCCTTGCCTTGCATGCAAGCGCTTGTGCACACATATGCAGACACATTTTTGCTCTTTTATTTCTAGTTTTCTGTCAGTCATTTTACAGCTAATCCTAATGATATAATACTACGTTGATGGTAGGTTATGAAACAAGGAGGGAAGGCATAGAACACAATATGGAGGGATACAGATCACAATATTAGTTTTTACTCTGGACGGTGAGATTATGGATATTTGTGTTCTGCTTTTCCATATTTAAAAATGTTTCTATAATAAAAAATGCATTGCCTTTGTAGTTGGGAGAGAAATAAAAGAAAATAGAAAAGAAAAGGACTAGGAGTAGGATTAAAAATTAAAAGAAAACATTGAACATGGAGAAAAAAACTTCTTTCTTGTGAGACAGTGATAAAATATAGTAATAGGTTATTAAGCAAGGTTGTTCATTCAATAATTATCATAGTGAAAGCCCAAAATAAAGATGAACCAAAAGGAAACAAAAATACACTAAATCTTACCATCCAGAGATAGTTGCTGATAATGATTTTTGTCTATATTTATAAATGGAATCATACAATAAATCTTGATTAAATAAACCTGCTTTCATTATATTATAATCTAATAACTAATATCTTCCCAAGCAAACAAATATAAATTAATATCGTAATTTTAATAACTATAAAATATTACACTGTATATATCTTAACTAGTCCTAAAATGTAGGAATCACGTACAATTAAGATATTTTGGGTTGCAGGCAAGAGAAGACTGGATTAAAAGTCTCCAAAAACAATAAGGAATTTAATTATCTCACCTAACAAGAAACCCTGAGAAACCCCAGTTCCAGAATTGGTTAACAGTGTTGCTTTAACAGTGTTGTTAGGGATCCTGGTGTTTTTTGTTCGTTTCCTCAACATAGCCACACTGAGTGGACTGACTTGTCCTCTTAGGCTGGCTTTCTTCACGTTCCCAAAATGGCATCAGCAGTTCCAGGAGTTACAAGTAGAGGAAATGTTCATGGCTTATGTCCCTTTATATGCTAGGGAAACCCCCCAGAACCCTCCCTTCACCTGTCCCCAACAAACACTTTCCCTCATGTCTTATTGATCAGAATGGTATCATGTGCCCGTGGCTAACTGCTCCCTTGGTAAGGGTAGTAAGACCACCATGATTAATGGAGATTTACCTCTTGGGGCAAGGTGGAGGCCAGTCATGAAGGACATGTACACTTAGAGAGGAATAAATAAGTCAGGGTTCTATCAGCAAGAAAGAAATGGGGTGGCGGCCAGGCGCGGTGGCTCACGCCTGTAATCCTAGCACTCTGGGAGGCCGAGGCGGGAGGATAGTTCGAGGTCAGGAGTTCAAGACCAGCCTGAGCAAGAACGAGACCCCGTCTCTACTAAAAATAGGAAGAAATTATCTGGACAACTAAAAATATATATATAGAAAAAATTAGCCAGGCATGGTGGCGCATGCCTGTAGTCCCAGCTACTCGGGAGGCTGAGGCAGAAGGATTGCTTGAGCCCAGGAGTTTGAGGTTGCTGTGAGCTAGGCTGACGCCACGGCACTCTAGCCCAGGCAACTAAGCGAGACTCTGTCTCCAAAAGAAATAAAAATAAATGGGGTGGGGAATGGGAATGGCTGTTAGGTGAACAGTCAACAATTCCCCCCAGCAGGACATTTAGATTTTTTTGTCCAGTTACTTTGCAATTTTAACACAGTTGCAGGGGTTTTTGGCGTTTTTTGTTTTTCGTTTTAAGACAGTCTTGCTCTGTCGCCCCAGGTAGAGTACAGTGGTGTCATTATAGCTCACGGCAACCTCAAACTCCTGGGCTCAAGCGATCCTCCTGCCTCAGCCTCCTGAGTAGCTGGGACTAAAGGCTTGTCCCAACACACCCAGCTACTTTTTTCTGTTTTTAGTAGAGATAGGGTCTTGCTATTGCTCAGGCTGGTCTTCAACTCCTGACCTCAAGCGATCCTCCCTCCTCGTCCTCCTAAGAGTGTTAGGATTACAGGGATGAGCCACCACACCTGGCCATGGTTGCAGTTTATAACAATAATCGTCTGATATTTATTGAGTTTTTTATCTACTAAGAACTAGGGAGATGCTTTATGTAAATTCTCATTCAATTCTCATAAATACCCCATAAGGAATATATTATTATGCCCACTTTATCCATGAGGAAATTGAGATTCAACAAGGTTAAGTATCTTGCCCAAGGTAAAAAACAAAATAAAACAAACCTGTTAGGTGGAGGAGCTTGCCTGGTTGTCTCCTGGACCCTAGAGGAACATGTTATCACCAGGCAGAGAGGTGCCCTCCTGGGCCCTTCCTCAGCAGGTGAGCGTCAGGCCAGGTCTCTGTGTCCAGACAAGAGGAGGAACTCACTAGGAAATTAGTAGTTAGGCCCTCTGTAGCTGCCACTTTGGGAAAACTAATATAAGCAGCTACCATTGCTTTATTGTGAATTTCTGTTTACACACTTGTATTTCCAATGTGATGGCCACAGCTCCTTAAGGCAGGCGATTCATCTTTGAATTCCGTGTACCAGTTAGAAGATCCGACCTACCAAACGTTTACCAAATGATTGAAAAAGTGGAGATCAAGTACCAGTCTATTTAATAGCTTACTGAAACATGGAGGCTGGCTGCTTTGCTTTTGAGGACCTGCTTTTCCTCACCTGGGAAATAAAACATCTGCTTATACAAGAGTGGGAGTATTGTTGCCAGCCTGTACACGACGGAGTGTGGAACAAAAAGCCATAAACGGCAGAGGCCAAGTGTTCTGAAGGTTCCCGTATTCAGTGTGTCCATTTGTGATCTCACATCCCATGCTTTTGCCTCCACTGATCATGGAGTGGCAACCAGCTTCTCGGAGCCCACTCAGGACTTGCTCCCTCGCTGAAAGTTCCAGAAAAGACCACAGTGCTTCTTTTGGGTGATGGCTTTCATACAATGTGGGCTTTGTATTAGATGCTGAATGGTGTTTCCACTCCTGAAATCATTTTTGTTTTCTCTGGATACTCATCATCCCCTCAAATGAATTACTGCAAAGGCAGCAAGACCTTCGCTAACCTTGAATTTAGTTTCGTAATTGTTGGATTTTGATGCTCATGTGAAATGTCTGTGACTTACGTTTTCCATTTTCATCCCTAGTGTTCGATCAATGATGCTGTGGAATTCAAAGTAGTAGCTGATGCCATGAAAGTCATTGGCTTCAAACCTGAGGAGATTCAAACAGTGTATAAAATTTTGGCGACTATTCTTCACTTGGTGAGTCGGGACACCTCCCAGAACATACCATCTTCCTGTGGAGACAGGAATGTAGTGAACATGTAACCTTACAAGACATGAGCAACAGCATTTATTCAAATCTGGAATAAAGATTGCCTTTCACTTTAATGTAGCAAGATTGACTTCTAAATGAATCAGAAATGTGCAGGATTATATGAAAAATATTGCATAGCAATATGAATGATAAATAAATGTTTCTGACTAGGAAGAATTAATTATAATTTGTCTCATCTCTTTGAAATAGTTTATAAATACAGTACAACAGTCCCTCTCAGAATCCAAACAGGAATTTTATTTTGTTTTTAACTTGACCTAATGATTCTAGAATTTACCTGGAACAATAAACATGTAAGAAGATCAAATAAAATGTATTAAAGAAGAGTAGTAGGGTAGGACAAAGGGAGGAGAAGGGGGCATGACTAATTCTACCAAATTTAAAATGATATAAAAGCTACAGTACTATAAACCTTGTACAAATACAGCCCCAGATCAACAGATTAATCAACAGATTCATCAATGTGCTGGATACTGGGTAGATGGTTAATAAATATTTATTGCTCTTGAATGAGTAGAATATAAGTAGACTCAAACACTTAGGGAAATTTAATATATTAATGTAAAAAAGGTGATATTTCAAATCAGGAGAAAAAGCTATTCAATAAATGTTGTTGGAGGAACTAAGTGTCTGAAAAAATAAAGTTAGATTCTTACTTTATGTCCCACAACCACATAAATTCTGGATGGATTAAAGTTTAAATGTTAGGGAAAAAAACTATAAAAGTATTAGAATACATCAAACACTCATAAAACCTTCAGAGTAGGAACAGTCTGACACCACAGAAAGAGAACCCCTAAGGCAAAAGATTCATCGATTTGACTACAAAAAGTATAAAACTTCTGTCAAAAATGTACACTGAAAATGAAAAGATAGGTGAGTGTCTGGAGAAAAGGAAAAAATAGGTGAAACACTAGGTGTTTATATGTTTTTACATGTAACATATTTAAAAAAATAGATATAAACAAGGTCACTTGAATTATATGTTAAATTGACCCATATATCCCTGACACAATGTTTCAGAATCTCTGTCTTGTTCTTTCACTTTCGATATAGGGAAATTTAAAATTTGTAGTAGATGGTGACACGCCTCTCATTGAGAACGACAAGGTTGTATCTATCATAGCAGAATTGCTGTCTACTAAGACAGACATGGTTGAGAAAGCCCTTCTTTACCGGACCGTGGCTACAGGCCGCGACATTATCGACAAGCAACACACGGAGCAAGAAGCCAGCTACGGCAGAGACGCCTTTGCCAAGGTGAGATTCGAACTCACCTTCTGTCAGCCTGTCTGGGCGACCTTCCGTTGATCCCAGTTGTGATTCCAGTGAAGTCTTGCGAGGATGTGTTCAGATGTTCCTTGAAAGTAGGTTAAGGCTTTTAAAAACCATGGTGATTCATTTTGGCCATCACAGTCTCAGTAAAACCTCCTGACATAAGCATCACTGCCAGGAAAGGTTCTGAGGAACACAGACGCCGGCTGGCTGTGGAGCAGGTGAGGCTTCGTCTCCAGGGCCCCCAGCGGGCTCCGGCCCGGTCAGGCCTTCCATGTGGCACTCAGTACCGCTTCACAGGAGTCCCCTTCGGGTTGACTGACTGAGCTCTGATCCATTCTTTTTTTTTTTCAAGTTGACAAATAATAATTGTATGTGTTTATGGGGTACAGCGTGATGTTTTGATACATGTATACATTGTGGAATAATCAAATCAGGCTAATTCACATATTCACCTTGCATACTTATCATTTCTTTATGAGAACGTTTAAAATCCACTCCTTCAGCAGTTTTGAAACATACATTATTATTAACGACAGTCCCACACTGTGTGACGCTCACCAGAACTTACTCCTCCTGTGTGCACCCTCTTACCAACATCTGCCCTTTCCCTGTCCACCTCCCCTGCCCCTCCAGCCTCTGGTGACCACTGTTCTACTCTCTGCTTCTATGAGTTTGGCTTTTTTAGATTCTGCATACAAGTCAGATCATGCGGTATTTGTCTTTCTGTGCCTGGCTGATTTCACTCAGCATAACGTCTGTGTCCCAAGTCTGTAGTGATGGTGCCACCGTTTATGGAACCATCTTCCTCTTGAGTCATTCCCTTTGTTTCCCTTTTTTGCCACTATAAGCAACGTACAAATCTTTGTCCATCTATCCTTATGCACCAATGTTCTTTTTCCCAGGAGTGAGCCTGCCCGCCCAAAGGCTATAATGATTTTAAACTTTAAATTTACTGATTTTATGGCTGTACTGTTATATCTCCTTGTTACTTTAATTTTTATTACTGCTGTTTTTGAGCATCTTTTCATATTTTTGTAAAGTTTTACAATATATTCTAAGAATTGCCTAGGTATATCTTTCATAGGTTTTTCTTTGGGGCTGTTACCTTTTTGTTGTCATTTTCTGTGAGTTTTTTGTATATCATAAACTTTAACCCTTTGTGTTAATGTTATCTGTGTGGCAAGTGTTGTATTTTCTCAAGTCTGTTTGTTGTTGTTTTGCTGGCTGATTAGACTACTATCTATTCCATTTTTTGCTCTTGTGAGTCTTAGGCTTGGTGTTTAGACTGGGGAGGAATTTGAATTCATCCTAAGTGCAATGGAGAGCTATCAAAGGATTTTAAGGAGGGGCAATTACATCAAGTTTGAATTTTTAAATGATCGCTCTGGCCTTAGTATGGAGAATCTTATCGGGAGTAGAGCAAGAGTGAAAGCAAAGAGACCAATTAAGGGGATATTTTATTAATCCAGGAGAGATGATGGCAGCTTGGACTAGGAAGGTAGCAGTGGAAATGGAGAGAGGAGAGTGATTTGAGATGGGCCATGTTGAGAAAATAAAGTCCATGGGACCTATTGCGTGGGGAGTGTGGGAATCAAGGATAATACCTTGACATGGTCGGGCTCTGGCCTGCCTCTCCCACCTTGTTTCATACCACATTCTTCATCCCAGGACATTAGTCTTCTCTCGGGCCTCTCAAGTTATCTTTATCCCTTCTCCTGCTAGCCACAGGGACTCTGCACATGCTGTTTCCTCTGCTTGGATTGCTTTTCTTTCCCCTCTTGCCGAGTTACCTCTTACTCATCCTCTGATCTCAGCCCAAGCATCACTTTCTCAGAGAAGCCTTCCTTGGCCTCCGTGAACACTGACTACATTAAATTCCCCTGAGAGCCCATGCATCTCTCCTTTCATGTGTATGTGTACATGTGTGGGTGTAGTGATTTTTCCTTCACTCTACTCTCTAAAGCTCCTTGGAGAAATGTTTCCTTACTCCTGTATCTCCAACAAACTATACATAGTAAGCACTCAGCAAATATTTGTTGAATGAATTAATTAATTACTTTGTTGAAAGAATTAATTCCTAAGTGTCTGGTGCCACTTATTTATGGCTAAAAGTAGGGTAGGAACAGTTTTCAGACATGGGAAGATGAGGAGTCCCAACAGAATGTAAGTCTGAAGTGCTGTGAGACACTAGGAGTCGCTGTGAGTCAGATACTCTAACATGTGAGTCAGGAGCTCTGGGTCCTGGGTCTGGGTTGAGAGAGTACATCTGGGAGTCATATTAGTATTATTTAATCCTGGGTGAGATGACTTGGTGTTAGAGAATGGAGAGAAAAGGACCTGGGGGAACTCCAATTTTTGGAGGTCATGTAGAGGATGAGACCCTACCACCAAAAAGGAGCAGCCAGTGAAACAAGAGGAAAATTAAGAAAGGATGGTATCATGAATCCCAGAGAGGAGAATATTCCAGAACAGAGTGGGAAGCCAGGTCAAGTGATGCTGAGAAGTGGAGGAAGAGGTTCACATAGAGGTGCAAGGAAGTGTCTGTGTAGAGGTACTGGGGGTCTTTGATGATCCATTTCAACGGAGTAATAGGATAAGCAAAGACTGGAGGGATGGAAGAGTAAAGGGGAAGTGAAGACTGGAGGCAGTGGGGAGGGGGAGAGAGTGGGCAGCTGCTGGGAGACGTTAAGGGAGGATTTTCTAAAGTTGTGACATTGCAGAGCACATGTGTGAATGTGTGTTAGCATGTGACACCTTTGTCCGTGTGTGACTTGGCATGTATATCCCTGTGCATTGGATGCGTGTTTGATTCTCAGGGAATTTCAAACTTTGGCCTTTTGTCTCAGATCTTTATTTTGCATTAGAAATCAGTATTTATATTTATAGAGTTCATAGAGCTTTAGTGGATCATAGATATTAACTCGTCAGTCCTCAACTTTTTATAGTGGACAAATTAACAGTAAAGTAATGAAGTGGTTTATACAAGGGAGTACGCAAATTACTGATACAGCTGGGCATGCAAACATACTTGGGGAATGTTGTTGGAATAACCAAAATAGTGACCAAAATAATCTTTTAAAAATCCAAATCATTTACTTTAGTTTTTCATATATCATGTAATTTTTGTTTTTTTTTTTTTGAGACAGAGTCTCACTGTGTTGCCCGGGCTAGAGTGCCGTGGTGTCACCCTAGCTCACAGCAACCTCAAACTCCTGGGCTCAAGCGATCCTCCTGCCTCAGCCTCCCGAGTAGCTGGGACTACAGGCATGCACCACCATGCCCGGCTAATTTTTTCTATGTATTTTTAGTTGTCCAATTAATTTCTTTCTATTTTTAGTGGAGACGGGGTCTCACTCTTGCTCAGGCTGGTTTTGAACTCCTGAGCTCAGACAATCCGCCCGCCTCGGCCTCCCAGAGTGCTAGGATTACAGGCGTGAGCCACCGCGCCTGGCCTTCATGTAGTTTTTTTTAACAGATGATCTACATTTCCATTAATAATTGTTCTGCTTAGGCTAATAACAGGCTAAATAGTAAGGAAAAGGTGGATAGGAATTTAAAACTTACTACAAATCCAAACAGAAGATTCCCAAATGGGCAAGAATTTAAGATGTTATTTTTCTCACAGGCAATATATGAGCGTCTTTTTTGTTGGATCGTTACTCGCATCAATGATATTATTGAGGTCAAGAACTATGACACAACAATCCATGGGAAAAACACCGTTATTGGTGTCTTGGATATCTATGGCTTTGAAATCTTTGACAACAACAGGTAAATTAGGTAAGATACGTAAAACAATTATTACTTATTGTTTATTTGTTTAAACATAATTTATTCCTTTTCTTACAGCTTTGAACAATTCTGTATCAATTACTGCAATGAGAAACTGCAGCAGCTATTTATCCAGCTGGTTCTGAAACAAGAACAAGAGGAGTACCAGCGGGAAGGGATCCCTTGGAAGCACGTAAGTGAACTCTTCTAGAAAATGTCTTCATGTATTGCATATATCATGGATAATGTCAAACCTTATCATTTTAGGTATTTCTTTCTTTCTTTTTTTTTTTTGCCCTGATCATTTTAGGTATTTCTTGATCTTCTTGGATACTTAAAACAGCTGAACCTTAGCTTTCCTTTTTGGGATATGTAAATACAATTAATTTTTGGGGTTGTTAGGTGGGATTTCTCTAATTTGATAGACTCCCTTGTTGGTGCCCAGAAAATCCTGAGTTGCAGCAAGTAAACCAAACATTTTCACTTTGCAGCTGGTACCGCATGGGCTTTCTGGTTCATATCTGTCTATTAGAGTTTAATGTCACTTATAAGTTATTAAGTTTTGTCATAAATTGGCTGACCTTTGCTTTCGAATCTAGTTTCTTCTCCTTCCTTCTTTCCTTCTTTTCCTCTTTTCCTTCCTCCTCTACTTTGTAAACTAAATGGCATTTTATTGTCTTCGTTTAATGTCATTAATATTCTCTGAAACCTAGGCATTAAAACACCTGTCTTACCTTTCATCTCCATTTACTTTCCTTTGTATCACTTCAGTCATTATCTTTCTTCTCATGGCTCTGTGGACTTTGATATTTGTCAGAGGGAAACTAGTCTGGTAAGATATAGCCAGAAAGTATGACTGGTCCAGGGTACAAACCACAGCTCTCTGTTTTACACAAAACACAGATCACAGCTAAAAGGCATGACTTGTTTGGCATTCTTATCTCCTACGATTAGACCTCCTGCTTATAATGAGAATGAGACCTAATAATTATTCTTTTAAGTTCATATTTATAAACAATTTTGAGAATAGAGTTAAAAAATGCAAAAACTCTTGAGTTTCTATAAGTTTGAGCTTATAAAGCTGTGTTTATTCTCTTGCCAGACAATAAAAATAGTCAATATTTGGTTTTTAGTATCCAAAAATAGCAGCAAAAAAATTATTTGAAATGATATATTTAAGTGACTTCTTTTCCTTCCTACCTTCCTGTTTTCTATCTCCTTTCATTCAGAAAAAAATAGACAATGACATATAATAGCTTTCCTGTTTCAAATTGCCTTCCATCATATGTTAAATATTAGAATACCATTAAGAATTTTGTTCAACTATTTTAGCATGAATTTCACCCATTTACAAATAAACCAAAGAGTTACTTTTATAATAGAATTATCTACAGTTGGATTTAAATAGTGAACTGTGACAGCACAATTAAAATTAATTCAATTCAGTCAAGTTTATATGATGCTTTCTAAGAGTGAATCTGTGTATAATATACAATATAACTGAAGCTTAGATTTTTCATAGCAAATTCAATCATAAAATTTGTTATTCAGATGTGATTTGAAGGTAGTGGTCAAAAATATCCTTTACCGGCCGGGCGCGGTGGCTCACGCCTGTAATCCTAGCACTCTGGCAGTCCGAGGCGGGCGGATTGTTTGAGCTCAGGAGTTCGAAACCAGCCTGAGCAAGAGCGAGACCCCATCTCTACTAAAAATAGAAAGAAATTAATCGGACAACTAGAAATATATGGAAAAAATTAGCCGGGCATGGTGGCGCATGCCTGTAGTCCCAGCTACTCGGGAGGCTGAGGCAGGAGGATTGCTTGAGCCCAGGAGTTTGAGGTTGCTGTGAGCTAGTCTGACGCCATGGCACTCGCTCTAGCCCGGGCAAAAGAGTGAGACTCTGTCTCAGAAAAAAAAACATATCCTTTACCAGTCAGAGTATCGAATTTCACAGGTAATTGAAAAGTAACAATTGCAGTAACATATTCCAAACATCTGAAAAAAATCAGTCTGAAAAATGGAAAAAAATTTGGCTAAATAAACCAAGAAATATATGTCCTAGAGGGAACAGAAGGCTAATTCCAAGGTAACAGTTACTGACTACCTGCCGATTCCCCCAAAATTATAATCTCTATTCTGGGTATTTCCTTTTAAAAACCCAGACTTCTAAACAATGATTTAAAAAAAATGATAAAATTGCAGAAAATTTTAAACATATATAAGAAGAGAAATCATAGTCTAATAACCTCTGTGTGCCTGTCGCCCTGCTTTCCTGTGTCATCTGTACCCTACTCCTCCGCTCCCAGATTATTTCGAGGAGAATCTCAGACATCACATTATTTCATCTGTAGATATTTCCACGTATTTCTCTAAAAGATGAAGACTTACAAAAACCATAATCACAATACCATTATCACACCTAAAAAACTAACAAAAAGTCTTTAATATCATCAAATATCCAGACAATATTCATATTTCATATTTCCTCAACTGTCTTGTAGTTATTGTTGTTCTACAGTTTGAATTTGGATCCAAATAAGATTGTTACATTATGATTGGTTGTTAGGTCTCTCAAATATCTATAGATTTTCTCCTCTGTCTCTTACTTTTTTCCTCTCTCTTTGTAGTCTTTTGTTGAAAAGAATGAGTCTTCCACAAGACAGACGGCTTTGAAAGTATACTTTTAAAAAACAAAATAAAAATTAAAAAAAGAATGAGTCATTTGTTCTCTGGAGTTTCCCACAGCCTGGATTTTGCTAACTGCATTCCTGAGGTGTCATTTAATATGTTTCTCTGTTCCTGGTGTGTCCTGTATATTGGTTGTTAGATCTCGAGTCTTGACTGGATTCAGGATCAGTTTTTTTCCACAGTCCCATTTCACAAGCTGTGTGTACACTTCTGTCAAGAGGTTCATAATAGCTGGTTATCTCTCTGATTCATTCACTTTTAAAAGCGTTTGGTGCTATACAAATCACTTTAACTATTGAGAACTTGACACTCAAGCACAAAGCTGTTGTATTTGGAGTGGGAATGAGAGGTCAGAGCCACATGTCCCTAAGCCACCTATTACATCTCTCCTGGCTCCCTGTATTCCTTAAGAAACCTCCTGGGTAGCCAGGCGTGATGGTGCATGCCTGTACTTCTAGCTAATCAGGAGGCTGAGGTGGGAGGGTTGCTGAGGCTAGGAGTTTGAGGTTATAGGGAGCTGTGATTGCACCACTGCAGTCCAGCGTGGGCAACAGAGTCAGACCCCGTCTCTAAAAACAAAAAAAAAAAAAAGAAAAAGAGAATAAAAGAGAGAAAGAAAGAGGAAAGAGAGAAAGGAAAGAAGAAAAGGAAGGGAGAGGGTTTGTTGGTACTTCATGGAAGCTGGGTCTTATGGTTAAGGGCAAACAGATTGGTATGAAGGAGTAGGGTTGGGTATAGGATATGGAGACTGGATTAAAACAAGAACTAGTAATGGGAGAAATGTTGTCTACCTTATGATTTCTGCCCTGTGCTATACTCATCTCAGGCAAAGTGTTTCATGATATAAAGTTAACAAAGATATTTAAAAATAAACCTCTGTTAGATGTGTGCTCGGTTTAGTGTAAGACCTCACTAATGTTATTCACATATTTGACATCAAGGTAGCTTTACCTAAACCCCTGATGCAAATGCCGACATCAGTGTTTTACCTGTCCTGGTCACTGTTCTCTTTGGAATTGCTTCTTTGCTGTGTCCCACAGATTGACTACTTCAACAATCAGATCATTGTGGACCTTGTGGAGCAGCAGCACAAAGGGATCATTGCAATCCTAGATGACGCTTGCATGAATGTTGGCAAAGTCACTGATGAAATGTTCCTTGAAGCGCTAAACAGTAAATTGGGCAAACATGGTCATTTTTCCAGCCGAAAGGTAATGTGTCTCACACCTTCCTCTCCTTTTGATGTGTGAGATTTTCCTCATTGTGGGACAGATTTAAATGACTTTATATGTTGGGTTAAAAGAATATCCACTTAAATAACAAAGAAAGGCCATAAACATCTACTGAATGATTTATTGCTGTGGATAAATTCTGCCTCTGTGGTTTTTAGTATACTGAGATTGATAAAATCTTGTCATCCAGGAGAGGGAGCTCCAGACTATCCAATTCGCTAGAAATAGGAAAAATGAGCATGATTCTTTAGAAAGCATGATGTCATTTATAACCAATAGGTGCAGAGTCCTCGTTCATGTGCTAGAATTTTACTCCTGCATCCGATAATTCTGGCATGGAAAATAGCTTTTGTCCTTGACTTTTTACTCTAATCCTCAGTTACAAAATGTGTGTGCTCTGCCATAATTCTTTAGACTATGTGACTTTCTAAAAAACAGAGACATCCTAGTTGTAATTCTAGTTATTACAGGGAAACTCATTCATTACGTAAATGGATATCCTTTTAACTCCCCATTTTTCACAATCTAAAAATGGCATAAACAAATCACATTTCTGTAATAATTGGTGGCAATTGTGGTTATCAGACCTTTGTGCTGCGCCTTGTGTGTAGTACGTTTGCCATTAGTATCTGTTCAAGGAATCTGTGTTAAAAGAGGGGCACATCATTAGCACCCCTGAGACTTCCCTACAGTCTTGTCTAGCAACCATAAGCTGAAGGGAAAACAGGCCCCCTGCTCCTTCACATCCATAAAGGAAGGGACAAACGTTTCTGCTCCTCCATAATTCCATATAAATCTATGACACACTGCCATTTTGGGGGGCACGAATAAATCTATTTTCTAACTTTGTCTCTTTGAAATTATGTAATCAGAACAGGGAAATTCTACAATTAACTAGATAAAGCCCAAGCTATCAAGAAATAGATTACTGGCTGATGTTTATTTCAGGACAGTTCTTTCTAAAATATTCTCCTTGATCTGTTACTGAAGATTGACTTGTAACCCTGCTCTAAGTTGGCTTTCAGATACTGCAGTCTGATCTTTCATATTAGGGTTCTGAGTTAGCGGGATTCTTTCAGTCACTCCCCATTTATACCACAAATACCTAATAAACACCTCTCATTTTCCAGGTGCAATCCTAGGTGCTGGGGACAGCAGTGAGCAGCAAAGTTAGAAGTAACCTAAATAATTTAGAATGATGCCTTTAAAGATGGCATGATTACACAAGCAAATGTCCTACCACTGAAGAATAGTTTGTATGTGCCCTTTGTAATCACAATTCAAGTTTTGGAGACTCGCCTAGCATTGTGCCTACCAGATGGTGGACACTCAATCCGTGTTTGTAAAGTTGGAATTGAATTGCTCACAGTCATACCAGATAAATTATATTTACATCTTCATTTAAATAAATAGCTACGAGTCTCACATAAGAAATCAAATCCACCTCATTTTGATATCTTTACCGTGGCCATTTATATGCCTGAATTAAGGTTATCAACCAAATATTTTGAAATATAATCTCATTCTTTTTTTTTTTTTTTTTTATTTCAGCAAATTATGGGTGTACAGATGTTTAGGTTATGTGTGTTGCCCTTGGTTCCCCCCCGCCGAAGTCCATGTTTCAAATATGTCATTCTTAAGGGTAACTGTGCATACTACTTTTAAGCACTTGCTATGGATTTGATAGGAAATGCTAATGCTAAACAGTAATTTATCTGTGGAGATGGGTTTTTTCCTTCTGGTTTTAAATTGTGGGAGCCCAGGTTTCCCAACTCTTCCACCAAGTGGCTCTTTGTTTTGGCATCCCTGGGGCAAGTACTGGAGATGGGGATTTTTAAAGTGTGTTCTTGTCTGGGATTTTTGCCTAATGAAGGAAAGAAATGAAATGACCAAGCTGTCAGGACATTTTAATGAACCTTTTTGTTAAATAATGCTATTAATACTACCCTGTATGTTGAGTCAGGCATCATCATTTGCTACTGGTTACTGATTAACTAGATTATTGGCATATTAAATAAGAGGCTTCTGGCCTGTAACAGTTATTTTATTTGGGGGCTAAACTGTTTCTTATGCATTAAAGTTACCATAGAGGCATGCAAACAATCCAATAAAACATAAAATTATTATTTAAAATATTATTAACATAAAAAGTTAAATGATATGTACATAACTATTATTACAAAAAAGGTAAAGAAAAAATCTAAAACCTTCATTATTCAGATCATTTAAGACTTTGTGATATCCAAATGTAAGAATATTTCATAGGTATAGACATCTCTTGGGTCCTTTTCCTTTGTGGGGGGTTTATAAATAAAAGGGTTTTGCAAAAGGAGTCAATAAGAGGGCAGGAAAGAGGAATAAAATTTGAAGATCCCTCTGTGTGTTAGATGCTTTGGTCTCCATAGTTCGATTAACCCTCAGAACAACTCTCTGAGGAAACTGAATAGATAGTAGACCCAAGATTTGAACCTTGGAAATCTGACTTTAATTTCCTATAATTACTCACTTGTCAAATAGACTAATTATTCCCTTAGCAGTCTGGTTATCAGTGTAGAACCCACCATCCTGGTTGGAATTGTCATCTAACAGTAGAAACTAAGTGGGTTTTGGTGTGTAACTGCACTCAGTGTTTCGTGGATTCTTAGATGTCTGCTTAAGAGCCTGTAGAACACCAAGTGATCCTTCATAGGGCAGACGAAGAAGTCTAGGTGCTTCTGTAACAAGGAAGGTAGTAGAGAGTTATGGAGACCTCCAGGGCCATTTGAAAAGTGCCTTTCTGTAAACTATTCCTCTTCAGCGAGAAAGAGCTGCAGAAGGTTGATCTTCTGTGAAGTGATCAGACCTGAACTGTAGTCCCAGCTTAGCAGACAGATGGGGCGGGGTACAGTGTACATAGGAGAGCGCAGACTTTACATTCAGTCCTAGGAGTCCTTCCCGGGACTACCACTTACTAGCTGCGTGATCTTGGGCCAATTACTTAACCTTTTTGAGCTTCAGTTTCAATATATGTAAAAGAGATTGTAATACATACCTTAAATATGGATCGTGAGGATTGAATGAGATATATATACCAAGCAGATAGTAAGCCTTCAGTATGGTCCTCCTTAAGTGGAACTTGGAGGAGAAAGAAACTGAATCAGTCAGGGTAGGCTGGGCTGCGTTAAGATAGCAGCCAAGATTTAAGTGTCATAAGATAGTATAAGTCTATTTCTGTCTCAAAGATCCAGACTTCTTCCATCTTCTGGCTTTTCCATCCCCTAGGGCAGCAGTCCCCAACCTTTTGGGCAGCAGGGACCAGTTTCATGGAAGACAATTTTTCCACAGACAGGGGCAGAGGGATGGTTTCAGGATGAATCAAGTGCATTACATTTATTGGGCAGTCAGACCTCTCTGCCAATGATAATCTGTATTTGTAGCCTCTCCGCAGCACTAGCGCCACTGCCTCAGCTCCACCTCAGATCCTCAGGCATTAGATTCTCATAAGGAGTGTGCAGCCTACATCCCTCCCATGCACAATTTATGGTAGGGTTCAGGTTCCTATGAGAATCTAATGCCCCTCCTGATCTGGTAGGAGGTAGAGCTTATGCAGAGATGTGAGCGATGGGGAGGGGCTGTAAGTACAGATGAAGCTTCACTTGCTGCCGCTCAGCTCCTGATGTGTGGCCCAGCTCCTAACAGGCCACAGATTAGTACCCGTCCATGGCCCAGGGGTTGGGGATCACAGCCTTAGGGACTATCCTCTAAATCCAACTAGTGGGAGGAGGAAAGAAAGCACAGAGAGGGATCGTCCATTTCTTATCAGCTTTGGCCTAGAACAGCCACGCTTCACTTCCATTATCCAGAACTTGGTTACTCATCCATATCCCCCTGCAAGAGTGGGCAGGAAGTATAGTCTAGCTGCATGGATTTCTAGTCAAAGTTCATAGTCTTTACTATATAAGCCATATATTTAAATCAAGCCCCACACAATGTGATTTCATGATTTGTGACATTATTATCATCTTATATTAAGTTGGAATATATATTTTTAGGAAAGCAAAAATGTCTGTTTCAAAATAATCTCCTTCTTGACTTCTCAGGTCTGTGCCTCAGACAAAATTCTGGAGTTTGATCGAGATTTTCGAATTCGACATTATGCAGGTGATGTAGTGTGAGTATCTTACTTTGGTACCTAACATGATGATTTGCATGCAACCTCACTTCAGAAAACATAACCAGGGAAAATATAAATTGTTTTTTTATTCATTTGCATTTTTTTAATCATTTGGTATGTTAATATATTTTAATTTGTTCATTTAAAAAATTGGTATGACTTCATTTACTCTTTGCTTTCCAACCATTTCTTGAGCACACACTATGTGCCCATGTACAGTTCCTGGCATAGCTGGCACTCAGTAAAAATCAATTCATGGGTCAGTAAATCATGGAAATATGTTAAGAACTGGGATAAAAAGATGAGCGAGATGGTCCTTGCCCTGAAGAAGCTAACAGTGTAGTAGAGGATACAAGCAGGCACATGATTAGTCATTGTAATGAAGATGGGAGAGGTGTTGAACCAGAGAGGCACAAGGCATGTTGGGAGCAGGGAGGAGGAGGAGTTAACCCAGCACGAGGTGTAGAGGGAGGTCTTGCTGGAGGAAGAGAGATCCAGGTTGAGTCCTAAAAGTAGAAGAGGGTTAGTCAGAGAGTGAATTAAGAAGAGGGGACAAATGAGAGAGAGCATTCCAAGAAGAAAGAGCAGGGATAAAAAGACCTGTAGGTGAGAATTACCCCTATGTATGAAGAACTGTAAGTAGTTGGGTAACTACATAAACAAAAACCAATTTTACTATATTATTTCCTAAATATTATTTGAAAAAGTAAAATTCTTATAAGCCATGTTTTTATTAAAATACAATAAAAGTAGAAATTGGTAAGAAAATATAACTAAAAAAATATAACTACTTTAGTATATTATGTTCCGAGGGCTGCTTTAACTAATTACCACAAACTGGTGACTTAAAACAACAGAAATTTACTCTTTCACAGTCCTGGAGGCCAGAAGTTCAAAATCAAAGTGTCAGCAGGGCCAAACTCCCCCTGCAGGCTCCTCTGGAGGAGAATGTGTTCCTTACTTTTACCACCTTCCGGTGGCTCTGAACATTGCTTGGCTATGGCCGCCTCACTGCAGCCTCTGCCTTCCCTGGTCATGGTGCCTCCTCCTCTTCTGTGTGTCTGTGTTAAATCTCCCTCTGCCTCTGTCTTAAAGGGACACTGGAGATGGCATTTAGAGCCCATCTGAATGTTGTAGGATAAGGCTTTCCTCTCAGGATCCATAACATAACCACGTCTTTTACTATATGAATTAATGTTCTCAGGTTCCAGGGAATTTGATGTGGATAGCTTTTGTTGGAGGGGCATTTTTTCACCTACTATATTTAGTATGCTTTCACTGTCCATTGAACACTGCTCTTCTTCATCTTACTGTTTAAAGTACACTTTTCCTTATTTTTTACATTAGGAATTCTTTCCATATAACCCATTATAAGAAGAGATTATACAAACAAACAAAAAAAAGCAAATGATCATTTCTATAAATGCTGAAAACACATTTGAGGAAATTTTAATAGCTGTTCCTGATTTAAATTAAAATTCTAGAATCATAAAATAATATGGTTCAAAATTATCATCCCATCTGTCAAACTAACCATTAGTACTGAAATGGCACCATTTTCTACTTTTTCTGGTCCTGTTCCCAGGTTCCAGAATACTAAAGAGGGAAGATGCAGTACCATACAGATATCTCCCTCTGAAAATCCAAGCCTCATTTGCAGGGTACTTTGATACAGCTCGGAATAGGCATAAATGCAGAGCTGGACAGGGGCCTTCGAGATCACGTAGGCCAGCCTCTTTGTTTTACAGATCAAGAAATTTATGCAGAATGAGTTAAATTGTTACCCAAGGTCACATAGCAAGTGTATGGAAGAACTGAGATATTAATAATAACTAGGTTTCTGGACTCTTGAGTCCAGAACTCCAGCTAACCCCTTGGAGGGATATTCAATGCCTCAAACTTCCCCTCTCTCCTTAAGCCCTTCAATTATTTTCTGGATCTTTACTAAGCATCTTCTGAGTGTAATACTTTATAAGATGGGGTCACTGCCCACAAAGAGCTCTCTGAGTAAGATGCATGCATGCATACATGGTTATATGTGTATTTATTTATATATATGCAAACACATATATACCCATATACATACATAGACAATAAAAAATGGTCTAAAATAATTGCCATATGAGTAATAGCAAGTGTGGTCAGAACTTAGAGTAAGGATATGCTATAATACTTCTAGCTGCATGTGATAAACCCAGGAGGCCAATGCTGGTCTTTGGTTGCTAGGAATTATTTTTATAGGCAGAAGTGGGAAGGGTGCTAAAAAATATTCAGGAAATAGCAACTAGGTCCATTTGATTGGAGTGTATCCTTTTTTGTAGCATGGAGAATTAGAAATGCCTGGAAAAGTAGCTTGAGATCAAATCACAATGAATCTTGAAAGCCAAAATTGGACTTTGAAGTTTGAATTGTGTGGGTCAGACAATAAATTAAGAAAGAGTGAGGTGACTTCAAGGATTCAGTCAAAAGTAACCTGAAAGTATTAATAAGACCTAGGTTGGGCAAGGCAAGGAAATAATTTTGGTTGTGGTGACCTTAAAGTGCTTATGGGAAGCACAACCTGAAGGAACTTTCTTGCAGAATTAGATATGTAAGTCAAGGAGTCAGGGTGAGAGATATGGAGGTTGCCCACATTGATGTGATTGTCAAGGAAGAAAACAGAAAAGAGAGCAGCACTATAAAGCACAGCTGCGTCTAGAGTTACTATTTGCTCACCCTCCTACCTCTCTCTTAATCACCCAGAGTCCCCGATTGCTCTTACACCCTCACCCCTGAATTTACTCCTCGTAGAGTCCACGCTGGTCACTGGAGTGGCACAGCTCCTTTTCCCACCCTTCTCACAACTACATTCTTAGCTGGACTTCCCAGACCATACTCATCTCCCTTCCTCCAAACCGTGAATACTAGCCTCCGTTTTCGCTCCAGAACTCCATGCATGTGCCTGCTTCCATCCCTCCGTTCAGTCTGTTTCCCTGTGTGATCTGCTTGCGTTTTTCTCCTCTGCTTATCCAATTCTTACCATCCTTTGCAGTTCTTCTTGGATTCTTTTATCCTACCCTGAACATTGAGTGAACCTTAGGCAAGTCACTTGACCTCCCTACGGATGAGACTATTAGTTCCTGTATGTTGCTGTTTTGCTTTTATCTTAGGAATGTTGGATGATAAATACAGCTGTCTTTTTAAAAGTCATCTTCTTGAGGTAAGTAATAAACCAGTAGAAAATGATGATCTTAATCATAATGATGGTACTGATGCTTGCTCTCCTTCTGAAGAATAGAAACAAAGTCCCTTCTATTTAGTAGGTAAATTTGGTGTCTTTTAACACAGAACAAGGTAGACACTATTGGCTTTTTAGATGATTGATTATGTAACTAACAGTGGAAAGGCTTGTAGACTCCTAGAAAAGCTTAAATGTGATTCTTTCTTGGTGAATAATGCATGTTTTCTGTGTTTTTTCCCTATTAGCTATTCTGTCATTGGTTTTATTGACAAAAATAAAGACACTTTATTTCAAGATTTCAAGCGCCTTATGTATAACAGGTAAGATTAAAATTTTATTAATCATCTCTACATTAAGCTCTTTGACATATAAATTACATAATATATATGCACATGATTATTTTTATGTGACAATATGAAGAGTTTCTGGCAGATGTTCTTGTTCTGCTTTATCATACTTAATAAATGAAATAGTGTGTGACTTTATGATTATAACATCTATAAACTTAGAGCAGGAACCTACTACTCATAATTTGCTTCCATTTCCCTTGGGTTGCCTTGGTTTCTCTGTTCACTGCTGCCAGCCTTCTGGCACCCCCTATCGGTGCTCTCAGCTGTCCCCAGGCCAGGCCAGTGGTGATGGAAGAAGTGTCAGGTGACCTCTGGCCCCGCTGAAAGCTTTGCGCACGCAGATTCCCACTGTAGTGTATTTGCCCCCAAATAAGAAACCACTCTCACATCAGAGTGGTATCTAGTGTCAGTGAGGACTGATCATGACTGAGCGGACAGGATCTTCTCATAAACCAACAAAAGATGAAAAAGTTGTGGCAAAATAAAACCAGGCAAATGATAACAAGTTTAAACCCAGTATGCACCCTTTGTAAGGAAGGTACATGAGAAGAAAGGATTCTTGGCCAGCTTCTCATAGGTTAGAGAACTTCAGTAACTCATTTATTAAGTCTACTTAGTCATTTGGTCAGTAGATTATCAAAAATGTATTGAGCACCTTCAAGCCTTACATTTTTCTATGCTGTGGGCTATAGCTATGAAAAAAAATTTAGACAAAGTCCCTGCCCTCATGGAGCTTATAGTCGAGTGGAGGACAATTAATAGACAAAGAAACAACTTTCAGGTAGTGACAAGTGCTGTGCAGAAAAACAAAGTAGGTAAGAGATGAAAGGGTGCAAACGAGGAAGGGCAGGGGAGAGTTTGCAGACAGGGCAGTCAGAACAGGCCTTTTGCTAGAGGCGACGTTTGAGCAGAGACGGGATGAAATGAGGGAGGGAGCCATGCAGGTTTCTAGAGGAAAAGCATTCCAGGCAGAGTGAATGGCTAGTACCAAGGCTCTAAGGCGGGAATGAACTTGAGTGTATTGACGGCAAGAAGGACAGCAAAAAGGCCAGTGTGGCTAAAAACAGAGTGAGGAATGGGGACAGTGCAGGCAATGAATTTACAGAGGTAGGCAGAGCCTCAATCATAGAATCTGTGGGCCCAGGGAAGGAAAAGTAGGAAGGGAAGCCACTGGAATTTATGATGTGATGTGATTTATATTTTAAAGAAACCAGTAGTGCTGCTGTGTAAAGTACTAGACTGAGACTTGGGTGGTAGTGACAGAGATGATGAAAGTGGGTGATGTTTTGAAAGTGGAGTCAATGAGATTTGCTGGTGAATAGGATGTGTGGTGAGAGAGAAAGACAGAAATCAAAGGTGATGCCTGAGCCTGATGTGGGAAGACACAACAAAAAGCCGATTGGTGGAAATGAAGAGTTTTATTATGGATGCGTTATGTGTGAGGTGTGTGTTGGACACCCAGGTGAAATTGCAGAATGGGCAATTGCACGTTGCATCCGGGTCTCAGGGAAAGCTGGGCCTAGAGAAATGAATTTATGGTCATCAGTATATTGATTGTATTTAAAGCCATAGGCTGGATGAAAGTATCTAGGGAGTGAGCATAGAGTACAAAAGGAATAAGTATTAATGAAAGAGAGAAGAGGTTAAAAGACTAATCCCTGAGACACTCCAACATTTAGAATTGAACAAGGAAGGAGGAACCAGCAAAGGAAACTGAGAGCACGCCAGTGAGGTAGGAAGAAAACCAAGAATCGAGTGTCATAGAGGCCAAGACAAGAAAAAATGCTTTAAGAAGAAAAAAAACAATAAACTGTGTCAAATCTTGTCAAAAGTAGGAGTGATGTGAGGACCAAGCTTGGCCATTGGATTTGCTAACGTCAGGGTCAGTTGGACTCTTGACAAAGCTAGTTTCCATGGAGCATTGAAGACAAATGTCTTCAGACAAATGTCTGATTGACATGGGCCCAAGAGAATACAGGAAATGAGAATGTAATGACACCATGTTTAAACGATTCTTTCAAGACATTTTACTACCAAATGGTCCATCTGTGTGCGTGTTGAAGCCACCAAGAATGATGATGGAGCTGTCATCAGCAGAAAGTTACAGAGACATAGAACTGAGAGGGGGTCCATGCAAGAACTAGGTGTGGGGAAAGGGACTTTCAGAAAGGAATTTCACTGCTTAATTTATCAAGTAATGTACACCCATTATGAGGGACAAATGACTAAAGTTAGATAAACAGCCTCATCTGGCCAGTGGCAATGTCAGCGTGGGTGCCAGCCTATGTACCAAGAGGCTGCACAAGGTAGTATATGTTACCTTCATGAATTGATCATGGCCCAGAGGTTGAGCTCACTGAGAACAGCTCTGCCTTTCAGTGGTAGACTAATATAACCCAAGCTCACAGGACCCATGTAGAAACAAAACAGCAGTGGATTTATTTCCAGTGAGAAATCTAACACTAACATGGAATGGAATATAGTTGTCCCATGGCATCCATGAGGATTGGCTCCAGGACCCCCCACGGATACCAAAATCCACAGATGCCCAAGTCCCTTATATGAAATGGCATAGTAATTGCATATAACCTATGCATCTATGCATATAAACCTCCTGTATACTTTAAATCATCTCTAGATTACTTATAATACCTAATACAATGTAAGTGCTATGTAGGAGGGGGAAGGGAACAAGCAGGTGGCATTCTAAGCACACAGACTTTTCCTCTTACTACTTTCTTGTTTGCCAGAGAAGATCTGCCCTATCTGGTGTACATACTGGGTTTCTGGATGAGCTTCCCTTTTAAGCAAAGGGTTCTAGTAATAAAAATGTTTGAAAATTATGTTGTTAATATTACATTCATGATCTGCTGGTCTGAGAGTTCTTTCTCTTTAAAATGGCTGTATGTTTCAGTTTGAATTCATTTCGTATCAATTCTCCTGTTTAACATATGGTCCTATTTCCTTCATTTCCAACCTTCCCCCCTCCTCCATTTGTAATGTAGTACAGAAATAGTCTCCAAATATGTCCAGCAACAGTGAGTAAGGTGGAAAAGGAATTTGGGATAGAAACTGCATAGACCAAAAGCCAATGATCCTTATTCTTTTTGATGCACATCAGAATTTTCAAAGTACGCAAAGTACAATTTTCTACTTTTCTATAAATTCTATTCAGTAAGTGTTAGAAAGGCATCCAAGCACCATGTGCTCTGTAAGCTGAGAGCCACTGCCTTAAATTATCTTTCTGCTAAAGATGAGAATGGAAAAGTTAAGGAAAAACAATATACATTTATGAGGTCATTTTTATTGATTTAAGGTGTATGATTGGAAAATCATAGACTAGGACTGTAAAATGGTGAAACTAGGTCCACAAGCCACAACTCATTGCAGTATTTTTTATAGCCACCTTTGACGGCAGTTGGCACTGCTAGCTGGTGATGGCGAGGTGGGAGTGTTGCTCTGTCTGCACTCACGGAGCCAGCCAGTCCTCACGTCATCATTTGTCTTCTTCACTCTGCTGTCATCCATCCTTTCAGCTTGCAGCTGTCATTTGGAACACCTATGTACAGAAATTTACTAGGTGCTTTGGGAAACCAACTCCATTTCCTCAATTTTATACGAGGGAAAGAAAGTGGGTAAAATGATGGGAATAGTCAGCACAATTAGCATGAATGCCCATGTTAATTCTTTTCTCTTTTCAGCCCTCAATTTTTTAAGAAAAAAATTTCTGACAAGAGAAGAGTTTCCAGGAAGCAAGCAACATTTCAAGTTCCAATTACTTTTAAAATCAAAAGCACCCAGAATGAAACAGGAAGAAAATCATAGTTGAGATCACTACACGTTTTTAAAAATATCTCCACAGAGCCAAATAATGGATGTACAATTTTTAACATGAAAATTGGCCTGAAATATATTTTTAGATTTGGATTGCAGCAGTCTATCACATCAATAAAATATTGTAACTGCCAATGCTGCCTACAAACGTGTTCATAAATTCAACTGCAGTAAAGGGTTTTACTAGGAGACAGTGGAAAATGGTTATTTTATTTTCCTATCTGATTTTTAGAGAGAGCTGGCTTTTATAGTGTTACCTATTCTGTATGAATATTTGTTTTAATTAGAAGATGCTTTCACTTTCATGTTTTCTTCTATGACATTGAGGATCATTTTCCTACTGGTGGTTTGTCCTAATTTTTAACATCACAAAACTTATTTGTTTGTGTATATGTGGTAAGAGCCGTGTTAACTATTTGAAGGTCCTAGGTAATAATAATAATAGAGATGTCACTTTAAAGAAGTTTAAAGAATTTTTAAAATGTATTCTAGTTTGGAAAAATCTCAATTTTTAGTGCAGTAGCTGTCATTACACTCTCAGCATAATTTTCCGGATGGAATCATTTTTTCAATTAGGCCTTGTGCGTTCAGTCTGTGTAGTCCAATTATGATGCTCAGGATACAGTTCAGCAGGATTGCTTAGCAGTTTTTATTCAGCTTATTTGAATGTAACATTTACTCTTTCTGTGCTTCTCAGTTCCAATCCTGTGCTGAAGAATATGTGGCCCGAAGGCAAACTGAGCATTACAGAGGTGACCAAGCGACCTCTGACTGCCGCTGCCCTGTTTAAGAATTCTATGATTGCTTTAGTAGACAACCTTGCGTCAAAGGTAATTATTTTCTTTTCTAAATATCCATTTTCTATTTGACGTTGTGCAAAGCATAGGTATCAGGGTGTCTTTTCTGCAGGGGGAGATGAATGTGGTATTTTGGTGCGTAGTGAAAAATCATAAGCTTTGTGTATCTGTGTTTGAGATACGTCAGTGATGTGGAGCGAAGTCTGCTGTGAGAGTCTGGAGGCAAACAAATTGGTTCCTGTAGCTCTATGAAGAATTTAATTACCTTTCTGGGCACCTTTTTTTCTGTTTTTTAAGTAATGGTAAAATCATCCCATTGGAGAGTCTCCTAAATAGACCTCTCCAGGTAGAACCGTGAGCTCAAAGTCTTTGTATAGTTCTGAAAATTGAGGAGTAGCTCTGTTCTGAAGTATCTCTGGTGGTGGTTTTTGTTGTTGTTTTGTTTTGTTGTCTTTAACTGTATGTAATACAAGCCTACAGTATTTGCACTGAAGAAAACTTGTTAGAAAAAGCTTGCTGCTATGGAAGAAAGAACATATTAAAACTTTTTTTGTGTTGCTTTTTTTTAAAATTAGCTTTTCCACTTTGAGTAGCATTTTGTAAAATAAAATGAATTAAAATTGAAAAAATATATAAATATGCATTTTAACTCATAGATTCCCTCTCAACACCTCTTGACATATTATAGAGAATGTAGATATGATTTACTTTTTAGGTAATCTACTTAATTAAATTGAAGAATACATACATACATATGTATTCAAAGTGAATGTTATAATAAAATTTTTATTCCTGCTTTTTTTTGTTTGTTTTTAACTTGCCTGGGTGAAATAATTGTTTGTGCCCCAGATGAATGTGTTTATTAAATCTGAGCTTTTAATCCTGCGGTCATGGTCAAGAGGAAAATCTCAGATTCAAAAAAACATGTAAGGTATAGCATGCCTGGCAGAATGAACTTCGGCCCTGTGCTGAAACCGGGCCTGGCCTAGATAAGTAAACAGAAACATCAATTGAATTGTAAAATGTACCATCCATATGTCGTGTTTGGATACAAAATGACCAGAGAGTCTTAAGAGCAATTTTAGTATATAAATATTGTCCCTTAGGCTGTTTTAAATGGTTGAAATATAAAGATATATTATTGACAGTTATTTCTACTTTTTATTGCTCCTTTGGGAACTAATACTACTTGATAACTTTAGTCTGGTTTTTTTTCCTTAACAAATTTCTACTCTTAACTGCTGCTGTTGACAAGTTTGATAAATTAGGCAGCATTCTGGGACTCGTTATTTTTAGTTTCTTCATTTTTATCTTTCTCTTCTCGTGCTTTCTATGGTTTCTTCTTCATTGTCTTTTTTTTTCTTTTAAATCAACTTCCTCTCTAAGAATTTAAATCTATACCGTTTCTCGTTACTTCGCTATGGATAAATTAGGCAAATGCCACAGGAACACATCTGTTCAGTAGCTTTCTACTCCTTTTTGTCAGTATTCTTTGGCCTCAAGCGGCAGCAAATAAGCAAAATTCATTGGCTTGTGTAATCAAATCTCTGGAAGGGCAGGCGTGAGGACACTGGCACCGAGGACCAGGATGCTATTAGGACTCTTACTCTCGTATCTCCGCTTCTCTCTGCATGTCAGCTGCAGCCTGCTTCGTCCTGCAAAAAGAAAAGTGACCCTGGAAGGAAGGCATGTGACACAAGAAACAGAGTTGAACATGGAATTTTATGAAATATATTTATTTATTTAAGTAACTAGATTTAATTGACTAGAAAAACAACCATTTTACTTTCTAAAATTGGTAGTTAAATATGCCTTTTAAAGGGCAACATAACCTAAACATTTGTACACCCGTAATATGCAGAAATAAATAAATAAATAAATAAAGAGATGACAATGACAGTTAAAAAAAATAAAAATTCTAGAATCTTCTGCAATTTCTGTATCAGGAATAGCATTTAGCTTCTAACAAAAGAGATCCTCAAATTAGCAGCTTAAATAAGAGACATGTTTATTTTTCTCTCCTGTAAATGAAGAACGAAGAAGGTATCCTAGGACGGGTATAGCAGCCTACAAGGTTATTAGGGACCCAGGTTCCTTCTGTCTTTCTGCTCTGCAGACCTAGTGCTTGGCATCTGTCCTCCTGGTCCGAGGTGGCAGCTGGAACTTCCCTTTTAAGTAGACTTCCTAGAAGGCTCACACAGCACTCCAGCTATGTCCCATTTGCTACATGTAGTTGCCAGGGAAGCTGGGAAGCATGTTTTCATTCTGGTCAGCAGTGTACCCAGCTAGATATAAGAATTCTGTTTCAAAGTAGGAAGAAGACACTGGGTATAAGGTAGACAACTAGGCTGGCAGTCTCTGCTCCAGCTTCTTAATCTGTGTGTGTGTGTGGAGCTGAGGAAAGGAGTGAGGGAGCAAGGGCAAGGAAAAGAGTACAGACAACGCCTCAGTGTACTAGAAGGCAGGAAGGTAAGCCCAGAGTCAGCAGAGGAGAGAGACAGAAGCAAAGGAAAAATGTTACATTTAGAAAACACAGAATATAATGGTAGAAATAAATCGAAATAATTGATATTCACCATAAACAAAAATAGGCTAAACAGACTATATAGGTGGAAAATCCAGCTATCCGCTGCTTACAGGAGACACATCTAAATAACACTGTGCAGAAAGCTTAAAGAGGTAGATAAAGATAGATCAAGCCACTCCCCCCAAAAATGGTGAAAAGCAATATTAATTGTGTGAGAAAATAGAATTTAAGAAAAAAACTATTAATGCAGGTAAAGAAACTAATAATAAAATAAAAATACCCAAGACAATAAAACCAGTTTGAACTAGGTACCAAACAGCAGAGCCATGATTATTATGAACTCTATAAAGCAAAAAAACAAACCTAAAAAAAATTTAAAGGAAAAAATTTACAAGTCCACAATCATAGTGGGAGATTTTAAACCAACTCTACCAGAAACTGATAGATGAAGCAGATAAAAACATTAGTAAGAATGTGCAGAAGCTTTGAAAACTGAATTTAAACTTTATCTAAAGATCAGAAGAACCCTTTACCCAGGGAATTGAAACTGTATATTCTTTTCAAGTATGGGTGGAACATTTACAAGAACTGACCACATACTAGATCACAAAGGGTCTGAACCATTTTGAAGAATATATATACAGGTATATTTTCTATCCTCAAAACAAGTAAAATAAATCAGCATTACAAATTTTTTTTCAGTGTGCTTGGGAACTTTAAAAAATGCTCTCCTAAATAACTCACAGGTTGCAGAGGAAATCACAATGGAAATTACACAATATTTGGAAATGCATGACAAAGAATATGTCAAAATTTGTAGAATACTGCTAAAGTGATCCATTTGTATACCTTTATAAAATAACAAGGAAGACTGAAAGTAAATGAGTTAAGTTTGACTCAGGAACTTCAAAGAAAACCTAAAGAAGGAAGTAAGAAAATAATTTTTAAATAGCAAAAGTCAAAGATCAAAAAATAATCATAGATAAACCTCTAATAAATCTCATAAAGAAAACAATATGAATGAAAAAAGGGTAATAACTTAAGATATTATAGAGAAGTTTTGGAATATTTTGAACAATTATATGCCAATAAATTTGAAATTTTAGTTTTTTAGAAAAATGTTATCAAAATTAGTTCAAGAAGAAAGAGAAAACTTGAATAAATCAGTAACCTTAAAGATTCTGAATCACTAATCAGACGTTTATCTTCCCCCAACTCTGCCAAGGACATCAGGCCCAGATGGTTTTACAGATGAGTTTTATTAAACTTTTGAGGAGCCAATAATCCCTATCATATGTAAATTATTTTGGAGGACAGGAAGAAGAGAGGTCACCACTCAGCTCATTTTATGAGATTAATATTACCCAAATACAAGCTTAGTGTTAGAAAATAAAATTAGAGGTAAGTTTAACTTAGAAACATAGATGTGAGGATCTCAAAAATATGTATTAATAATGCATTTTCTGACAACATAGTGAATGTGATGCCCCACTAAAGCCAACTGAAAACAACTAAAATGTTAGGTAAAATGTAAAAATCAACTTCTAGAATGTAGCCATGGTCTAACAAAAAAACAGTAAGGAGCATGTAAGTCAGGAGCTAAGTGAACATAGAGGTTAACTGAGTGAAGGGAAAAATAATCAGACTCCCTAAAGCTGCCCTTCACCCTGTGGGGATGTGTTGAAGTAGATAACTTTGAATATAGTTACTCAAGGCTGGGTCCTTGAAGCCCAGGGCCTGCCCAAAGTAGGGTGTCTAATAAGAGATTCTATACACCTACACATACAACACACACACACACATATACACACACACACACACACAGACATATACAATGGTGGGTCTTCAAAGGGCTACATCTAGAGTGAACTAGAAATAATCCCCCCCCATTATCAGTAAGGAAAAGTGCCTATATGGGTTGCCATCCCTGAAAGGGCCAAGTTGTTTTCTATTCATTTTTTTTTTTGAGACAGAGTCTCACTGTGTTGGCCGGGCTAGGGTGCCATGGCGTCATCCTAGCTCACAGCAACCTCAAACTCCTGGGCTCAAGCGATCCTCCTGCCTCAGCCTCCCGAGTAGCTGGGATTACAGGCATGTGCCACCATGCCTGGCTAATTTTTTCTATATATTTTTAGTTGTCCAATTAATTTCTTTCTATTTTCAGTAGAGATGGGTTCTCGCTCTTGCTCAGGCTGGTTTCGAACTCCTGAGCTCAAACAATCCGCCCGCCTCGGCCTCCCAGAGAGCTAGGATTACAGGCGTGAGCCACCGCGCCGGCCTCTATTCACTTTTAACTCCCAGGTTTAGTTACTCCAGATTCCAGACCAGAGGACAGCCCCTTGTCCAAAGCCTCAGGTTCCCACTTCCTCCCCCAGCCCCACTGTGGTCAGAAGCCCAGCCCAGCCTTGTAACTGCCTTTTCCAAATCAACAGTAGCTCCTAGGGCAAAAGCAGTCCTGAAGGGTGGGCCCACTCCTCTGGATTTTAGTCTTTTGATCTTGGCCACG